TATGTTATTTATTTATGTTATATTTATTTATTTATTTATTTATTGGCCAAGACGAAAATAGTGGTGCCGTTTCTACAATGAAATTATGAAAACGACCTTTACGGAGATTAAATTAGTGGCTTCAAGGAATCCGAGGTCTTTGTTGTTGTCTTATTTATCAATGCCAATTCTGTGAAGGAAGGGCAGGGGAATTTGACAGACTTTTGTTTGGCGCTGGCGTCTAGTTTTTTAACATGCCATGGCCCCATTATTTTTATCGTTTTGATGGTGATGACTGTGATGTTTTGAAAATGACATCTATTTCTATTTTAAGAGCAGATGTCCGTAAAAATCAAGCAAAAGGCGGCAAACCTTGAAAAATCGATTTCGCTCATACTTATACTATACCCTGCGAGCAGAGTGTATTTCCTTGCCTCAATAAAAATTCGCGAAGGAAAATAACATTTTCCTTCGCGAATTTTTATTGAGGTAAGGAAATACACTCTGCTCGCAGGGTACTCCAAAGACAGATCTTTCAAACAATGTAAAGTTTTCTTTGGGCAAATGTTTGTACGCGACGCTACGTGACGCCAAAGTTGCTTAAAATTGGGCATAATTTGACCTTAAAGTTCGTCAAAAGCAAAGTTTATCAGAACAAAACTTACTCAAAACATGCTAAATGAAGAAATCGATTCTAGTTTGGAGTAGATACGAATATACTGCTCTCTATAAATACKTMAAARGTATCCCWTGWAACGAAAGTGTATCAATTTACACAAAGCTAGCAACTTGTCAACACGAAACACACAGGGAGCCCATTCAAAACTTTTTCGAACTTTTTTGTATTGTTTATTGGAATAATTATATTGTAATAAAGTTATGGTATTTAACAATTGAAAAAAAAAATTTTACAACATAAAAGATGCAATTTAGTGACCATTTGGTTGATATCACTCAACTAGAACAAAACAGTACAATAAACACTCTGAGCAACAAACAAATACATTACTTGGTGTATTGTAGTAAAGTAATAGATGAGATGACGGTGACGCCATTTTGGACCGGTAGGCATAGTGTCGCAAAATAACAAGGAATGACCGGGAAATCGATAATTCTCGCTGAATTCAAATTCAGAAAGAATTATCATTTGCAAACGTTAGATACTTCAAAAAGGAGTTAACTGGCCAAATTTGAAAGGCGTACTTGATCTAGAGAGCGAGTAAACTCATTTTTAGTTCTCCATACATTTCTTTGTAATTTCAATACATTTCGTTATAATTTCCGGGGTCATCAGTGCGTGACGCGCGTGAGAAATACAAAGAAATGTATTGAGAACTAAAAATAAATTTTCTCGCTCCCTAGACCAAGCACATCCTTCAAATTTGGCCAGTCAGCTCCTTTTTGTAGTATCTAACGTTTGCAATTGATAATTCTTTCTGAATTTGAATTCAGCGAGAATTATTTGACATCGATTTCCCGGTCATTCCTTGTTATTTTGCGACACTATGCCTACCGGTCCAAAATGGCGGACAAAACCGTCACCTCATCTATTGCGTATCGGCACAAGATCGATACTGATCGACGCGAGAGCAGCATGTAAATTATTTTCTATTCACAAAAACTAAAGAAATATAGCTGAGCAAAGTGATTTTGGTCCCGCTGAGGGTCATAATGACGAGAATTTCCCCCAACTGAGTTTTGTGGTCCCTTTTAGGGTATATGACGTCCCTCAGCCGTCATATTTCCTATGAAAGGTAGGTGCTGCATTCAACTAAAACAAAATGACCTGTTATTGATTGGTCCCTTTTAGGGGTGAAATTTCAGCACTGCCACGCCCATCATCTCCAAACACAGGTNATTATCCCAAAATCAGTGCCCGCCGCGGCGCGGAATTCAGATTTCAGTCGTATGAGATATGTGATCAGTCCAACCGAGAGAGAACTAGGACTGACTTATGAAATTCATATGAATGACGTAAGTCGGAAAATATTTGGGACGTCCAGCAGACCAGGTTTATCTATCCACATGTTGTGTATATTTTTGTGAACGTATACTAAGCTAAGCACGTCGATTTGTTTCACAGTTTCTTAGGAGGAAGGACTTCGAAGTTTGGTGAGTCGGTTATAAGTATGTTCTGAAACATCTAGCGCTTAACTGCATTATATATGCACCGATTAGTTTCAATAACATTAAGGAAGGGAATCTTGGCTTTTGAATAATTTTGAACCACAAAATTATTTCATTTGAAGGTCGTGCATGACTGATGGTTGTTGTTTTTAAGTCTAATTGAATTCTCGTTGTGAATGGAGTTGTTATTTGACAAAGATATTTAAATCTGCTTCTGTATCAACTTCCATGAACTTCCGCCTTATGGGACGCTCCGCATCGTCCGTCCTGCATTGCCTGTACTGGGCCATAAATCCCTCAATATGATCCATATCAAAGCAAATTACCCGAATTTTGATAGAAATATGAAAGAAAAATGCATTACACAGACGGTTACATTTATTTTCATCATATTTTGCATTTATGTATGGTGCATATTTTCCAAAATCTTTAAAAGCTTGGGCTGCCTATGCGATGAGAGTTTTATGAGATTGGCCTGCCTGTGCAATGAATGTGAAAATTAACATAACTCAGGTTACCTGTGTCGTACATAGAAGTTACGTTTGCAAAAATTAAAAAATCAATCAATCAAAGTGTATACAATTAATATAGAATATACATTAGACAATTAGCATAAAAAATTTATAATCACAATTTTGATCAGTTAAGTGTAAATTATTTTGAAAATCAGCCTTTGTCAATCACAGCACGGTCTCGTGGACTGTCAAATGATTTAATATGATGATTTTCGATGGAGTGTAATATGTTATTAATTTTTTTTACAGACATTTTCCCTCAGAAGGCATTTCCCCGTGACTCATTTACACAGAGAAAGTATCTGAAAAAGGATGGATGAGGAAGAAAGGTAAGATTTTATTTGATTAATCGGATCCTCGTTTTTATTTCCCCCATTTATAGCAGTTATGCTAAAAGTGTGATCCTTGATCCGAAAAAAACGGAAATTTTGATCTTAAAAAATCATTGGCAATGCCGGAACGACACGTAAAATTGTGATTAAAATMGTGTAGAATAGTGTCCCATTTGTTAGATATTACTTTTCTGTCTTTTCCGGACCTCATATTTTGATTATATGGTTTAGCCGGTATAGTTTATCGCAGGGTTATTTTCCACAACTAGTTACTGTATAACGCTTARTCATTATTCTCTKTAGGTGAWCTTGCTTAGCCTCACACTAAGCTGCCCTATGATATACCTGTGAGTGAGTAATTGATCTTAATCAATTTTTTTTTATTTTMCTTGTTTTACAATAGGAACTACTGCTGCCTAATACTACTGCTTTCCAGGGTGGGGTTGTCAAAGTTAAGGGACTTCTTCATAAAAGAATGGGATTCATCAGGTAGTTTTGGCCCGTGGACTGACTGRTKTAAGAACGGCGTCGACTTGTTGACAATATTCACCAKMACYCTTCCTTATGAAAGAGCCAAAGTCCAGTCAGGTGACACTACAACATGGGATTTATCTCTCTTTGTCAAAGTTCTATTGAATTCGAGTCCTCCATTTGTGCACATTCCTAACATAGCTCTAGTTAATGGCTTGCAGTGTTTGAAGGAAACGAGAAACGTGCTCTGTCACACAGCTAGCGGGCGTATTAAATCTGCAGAGTTCCAACAACATTACGGCAATGCTTGCAGTGCATTGTTGTTGTTGGGTGCTTCAAAAGACGACTTCAACAAAGTCGATGAAGGTAAAGACTATATCGGTTGTTGAATAATGTAGATGTTGGTCGAGTTTACCATTGAATGCTTCCAGCTAAGAGGCAAAAATTATGAGTCAAACATTAAGTATAACCGTGGAACAGAACTGAACCATCTTAAAGAATCCCAAATAACCACATACAACGCGTTTTTGTTATAGATACGTTTAAATGCGTCAAGCATACAATATATTGTAGATTGATAGTAGCTGTGAGGTACTTAGTCTATCTTAAAAATATTTCTTCCCAAACTGAAATGGATGGATGACGACTCGCGCTCACCTTAAGAAATGCTACGAATCTGCCATTTTCGTGTCCACCTYAAATGGCGCTTCAGCCGGCAAGTTACGGCGGTTGGTTGTGATTCTGTAAGTSCATCGCGCTTTGTTTAAGGGGGCATTGACCGCTAAATATTTTTTCAGGTTATTGACTAACAGATACTGATTGCATTTTAGGTGACAATGAAATGAGAAAGTTAATTCTCTTGACTCCCGATGATAACTATTGCGCAATCCTTAACATGTCCAAACATAGGAAATCAGGGACCTAGCCCGATATTATTTCTGAAATTAGCTTATTTCCGATGATTATTTAATGCATGGGCGTATTTGCCTGCCCAACGCAATAACATCGTTTACATACTTTCATCAATGTTCAGATGTGCAGAAGCCATGGAATGAAGTGTTATCACTGGTCAAGGAGTGTTCATCTCAAGACGAAGTCATCCTACAAAGAATAGAAAACTCAAGTCAGTACAGTGTATATTGTTGATAAATTAATCTGAAATTCATTACTTCATATGATATCTTGATTTATAATTTGAGTTCTACCATGATTTTACAGCAAAAGAGTTAAAGCAAGGCCAGTCAGATATACAGAAGGAGCTTAAAGGACTAAAGGACGTCCTCCAAGGAATTCATAATCTACCTGGCCCATTAAAACCCTCAGACGTACCAAATYATGGTCAGTTCATGCTGTTTGAAAGAAACACTGAATTAAGTAAAGTTGGTGGTCCTAAAAGTGTTGATCCGCCATCGGTTTCCATAGCAACTGTTCAATATATATTGTTTATCCCATACCCCAAACACCGCCACTCTGACAATCCTTAATTTGGAATACTTACACATATATTTCCGTTAGAGGAGGGGGAGGGAAACTAARTTGCTAATGCGTTGCGTTTAATTTGTCGTGGGACAATCACACTAACTAGCTGATTTTTCACACACAGAAATTTTATTCAGTTTTCAATTACGACAGATGATTTAAGGGTGGATCCTTAATTAGGGGGGATACGTTTAAGAGATATAGCGCTCCACACATCCATTGACCATCCAGGAAAGTGTACATAAATCCAAACATGAAATAAAAAGAATGGAAATAAAGAGTTTACGAAAGACTGCAACAACAGTATTTAAACAAAGCTGGAATAATGGATAAATAAACGACTTAGAGCGATAAAAACCCGAAGGAGCCAATACTAAGGGTCGGTTCAAATTACGGCATAAAAGCATAAGTTAAAAATACAAAATAATTGATTTAGTTGATAAAATTGATAAAGAAGACAACATGTTTTTCTTATGTGTTTAATTAGCTTATGTTTCCTTCTTATATTAATTGCTATTTTATGTCAGTGCACGCTTGATTTCACTCCTTTGCCTTTTCCTTTGTTCTCAGCTTTTGTTTGTGCTAATGTCGTTGTCTAAACGGAACAACACAATTGAGCACTTTTTAATCTCTAATCTAGGCGAAGCTGTTAATCAGGGTGATGGTGGAAAACCCAGCATTCCTACACAAGAAAAACATAGTGACGAAAGGGTTGAATCTGCTGGCAATGCAAAAGAGACCAAAGACCGTAAACAAGAAGCAACATTTTATGCCTTTGATCGGTCAGGTTCCATGACGACAATGGGAAACGCACCTGCAGAAGCATTGTTCAAGGAGACGCTGGATAAGGTAGCCGACGCATTGGATGGTGATTTCGTATGCATCCAGGCCTTTGACGATCAGATTGATCCTCCTCTCCACTCTGGTCCTGCAAAGGAAATCAAACTGACATTCGACCAAATTAGGAAGGGCTTGAGTCCTCAGGGTAGGACAGCCTTGAACGACGCCATCGCTAATGTTATGTTAAAAGCCATGACCTTTCGTGAATCCAACCCGGGTCACGAGGTCGCTGTTGTTATCTACACCGATGGCGAAGAGAATTCCTCTGTAGAGTATAGTGGTTCAAATGGTCTAAAGAAAGTAAATAGTCTCGTTCGCAAGGCTCGTGCTATGGGCGTACATGTGATCTTCATGGCTGCAAATATCGACGTCTTTAAGACAGGGAATACATATGGTGTTCCACAAGCATCGTGTCTAGAAGCTGGACAAGGTAACTTCGTTGGACTTGACTTTGCAGCTGAAAGAATTCGTTCAGTATCAAGTGGCATATCAGACCATGTGGAGTTTAGCACCGTTCAAAGGGTGAAGTCAAAGGATTTATGTCCTGGTCATATGTGGAAGGTAGGACGTGCACGAATCAACTTAATTGGCATCCTTTCATTTAGTTGTTGGCATTTAAAGCCAAGGCCGCATTGTTGCTGGCTCAATGTTTTCTTTACAGTATCAGATCCACTGTTCATGTTCAAGCATGGTCATTTGTCGTTTTTGATTTTTAAAAGGGTTTGACTAAAAGAAAGCCATGCCCCATCTTTGGGAACCCAGGCGTTATCTTCTGTCGTTAATCGTTCTTCACTCCCAGACATAATATCCCAGAGTGCATGTACAGTGGAAGCAACAGGGCCGTTAAGAAGAAAACAATAATGAAAATATTGATATATGATGAGAATGATGCAGAAAAAGACAATAGAATGAAGTGATTAAGACGAAACTATGTATGACAAGCGCCATCCTATTTWATGTGTAATGTTCATTTGGGTTTCTACATACTTGCTCCGAGTCTTTCTCACTTTTTACTCATGAGCGACACAAAATTTCCTTAATGGACGTTAGCGGCAACTCTGCGGGATATAGCGATGTCAATCGGTCGGAAGATTTCGACTTCGCTCGAGAGCATGACAGTAGAGACTAGAGCAAGTATAGGCGCTTTGAGTGCAATTCACAAATGTTTATAGCTAATATGCTCTAGAAAGCATCTGACAGATTTTGTTTGCGACTTCAGCGCAATACTATCAATAACGTAACTTAATCCGAGCATAGTGAAATGTTCAAAATACCATTCCTATTTTTGCGCATCCTTCCGTAAAATTTCCTGGTTACGGCCCTGTACCCATGGTCACGAAGTCTTTTGCAACTTGTTGTCGAGTGCCTTTACCTATCTCTGAAACTCGGATCACGTGGATTGATCCTCGTACTCATGTTTGTATTTTGTATTGTTTATATTAGTTTTGGTAGACACAAGTACCCCTAACTGAACCATCATAAGTAAACACACCGAATTCAGAAAAGCACACAGCACTGATGATATAGCTGCGACACCAGCACTAACCAGAATGCCGACATCTTCAACGAAATCCGGGCAGCCGCTAACTTTGGGACATACGTTTCAGAATAAGAGTGGAAGATTCCAGCTTTTTGGAGTTTATTATTTGAAAAAACGAAAAGATTGATTATTATTGCACAATAATAATTAAGATTCAATATTTGTACGTTATGTTAATTAATATCCGTATATACACCACATGGTTAACAAGAAACGAAACCCAACACGATTAAATTTATGGTTGAGGCTTTTATAAGTATTACATAAATATTTGCGAATAAAACTTTCTGAAATTATATCATTTGTTAAAG